GGAGCAGCTTCACATGAATAAGTTCTTATGAGAGGGCCAAAGAGTGGCACTGACAGACAATAAGCCATGACCTCAAAGCTCCAGCATCCATTGGAATATTTGCAAAAGGTGCAAACAGAAAGGGGAATGATTTCACCTTGATTTACAGCAAGGGTGGATCGTTTTTCTAGACCAGGAGTCATATTCAGTCATAGAGATGCCTATTGGGGGGTTCCCTCAGAAAAAGGGCAGGGCTAGGAGAATGAATGAATATACAAGAAAACTAAACATTAAACACAATGTGATATTCTTAAAATAAATAAATGTTGGGGATGGAGAATTTGCTACTTTAAAAGTAGACAAAAAAGCATACTGCTGAATTTTGGCAGGCAACTACAGTGCCAAATTTCATTGGGAGCTATGGAGGACTAGCATCAGGGGGTGAGTGTAATCTGTGGATCGCCCACCCTTGTTGAACAGGGAAAAGAACCATAATTTGTCATCAGGTGGAATATGGGGAGCAGATGTTTTTTATTCCAAACATTTTATCATCGTCATCTTACTAAAGCACTTTCCAGAAAAAATCTTGCTCCCCGCATGCAAAAGTCAGAGTTTCTTCTGAGTTTTTGTTCATTCTTGGGTTTTCCATGCACCGCCAGCACATTACCCCATCCTTGTGGAATATCCATAATTGCATTTGTCATTTAGAAAAAAGAAGAAAATATGACAGAAAAAGGACTCTGACATTGGAAAGAAGGAATATAGAAAGTTCAAAAGAACCAAACAGTTCCAAGAGGAAAAAAGGGCAACAGTTCATTTGGCAAACGTCTCTTTGGGGAAAACAGCAGGTTGGAAGAATTAGCTGTTTGGTTTTTTTAAAAAAAGAGGAACAAGAGTTCCTGAATTTGGATGGTACAGCAAGGAAACGTCCAGGAACAAAGTAAGATCACATTTGTATCACTACAGTACATACACAAGAAGGAATATTCATAAAATGACATAGGATGGAAAAAGTGTTTCTCCTCCCTTGCAAGCCCCAAGGCATTTCCCCAGATGCAGCCAGACTGCTGGGACTGCCTGTTGCAGAAGTAATCCACATTTACTACAAATGCCATTAGTTGTGGGGTGGGGAGTTAAGACCAGTTTGCTTTCCCAGTGATGAAACACTGTATTTTAAACTTGAGGAAGATGTGGGATCCTTGCAACTGGAGGGCTCCCCCAAAGCTGTCCCCATGCAGCACTGTCTGTGGGGAGACAAAGGGGCATCAGACTGATGAACACATCACTGCAGTGTCATGATGTAACCCCTGCCTCTTTTCTGCATGCATCGCAATACTGCACGCACACCCCAGAGAGCAGAGTTTGTACAGCTGGGCCGCGACGTTGTTTTCACCATTCTGACAGAAGCAGTGAGATGGTGTAGTAGACGCCACCACCTATGTTTCGAGTAAGTCACAATTGAAAAATTCACATCTCATGCTGTGCATTTGGCTTTTCAGTGGCACGCTGGGTTGTGCTCAGTAACTTCCCATCTATCATGGGGACTTTTGGCGACATTCTGAGGACCACATTCATGCCCCTTAAGAATTCCTAATTGGAAGACATCCTGGCTGGGTTCGTAAAGCATAAGAACAATTAAGCAAAGCTCATTATGCCTTAGCATAATGTGTGAATGCAACCTTTTACTTAGCCTATGATTCAGAGATCTCCGGATGGGACTGGTCAGCATGGCTAATGGGATGAAGCCGAGCACATGTGAAGAACACCAGCTTGGCAAAAACCACTGCAATTATTTAGCAGGAAATTTTTTTCACCAGGAAAAAACAGAAACAATTCATTGTCAGGATGATTTGGCAGTGGATGACATGTATTTAATAGGTTGCTTACCCTTTACTTCCCAATTAGATGCTAAAAAATAAATCATTACCTCTTCCTCTTCCTCCCCCTCTCCAGCTGCTTTTCTCTCTTAGAAGTGAAAGAAACAGACTGACCTATGAATAACTTTCTGCTATTAAAACAAACAACATGGTACGAGCTCATCCCATCCTCTTGCCTGCTGCAGACTAAACAGTCCTGAAGTTCTAATTTCTACTTTATATAGACACCCGCTCAGATGCTTTTGATCACGTTTTCTTGACCACTTGTTTTCTAAGTTCAGCTTTCTGTTCTAGAGACCAGTCACTATCCTGCTCTGGTCATGTTTCCACAATACATGGAGAGAAAAGCCTTAGATAGCACAAAAGTGTGCAGCACCCTTTTTAGACCCCCATATATCACAGTTTACCCCAACTGTCAGGCTCACTATGTCACTGAAAATCAAAAATGACTCCACCTTGAAGCCCTTCCACCCATTGCTGTCCATCGGGTCTACTGCTGATTACAGCAGCCACGTTAAAGGGATCCAAGATGAAATTTGTTTGAGATCACACAACATGCTTAATCAGGACCTGGATTTAGAGAACACACTTAACCAGACAGGTACTAACTTAGTCACAGCCCCTAAATCCTGGATCTGGCAACCACAGTTCCACTAACCAGCCCCACTCACTTCCGCTAGTCCTGCCTGACATCCCACGAACCATGCTATCAGGACTTCATTAGACCAGTTGGGTCTATTAGGCCATTGGCCAGCCAGGCAGGTCTGGGCATGGTTTGGGCACTGCAGCTAATGAGGGTTTGGGAGGGATACATATTCTGTGGCTGTCTGGCCTTGGCAGCCATATACCTTTGAGCCAACACTGGTCCCACCTTTCCTTCACGAACTCAAGTCAACAGGTAGGTTGGGCAGAAAGAGAGGAGCTGGTCCAAAGTCACCCAGAGAAGTTCTGAAGGTAGACTAGAACCTGGGTCTCCCAAGTGCCAGTGAAAGACCTTAATTACTACACTCCACTGGCAGTGTCAAGTTTTGCACTTGGCCAAGTTACTTTATAAAGAATCAAAGCAGGAATACCTTTTTCAGCAAAGACTGCAGCCTGTGTTGGCTTAGGCATCATAACTATTAAATGCAGATGCATCCTGTCCAGCTTCCTACCCACTCTCTTTACGGAAGTAAGAAGAGACTCCTAATCAACAGTTGCTTCCATGTCTGTGCAATTTTAATATAACTCTACTGTTTACTTAAACCAATTGTCTAACCTGGATTCAAGATGTTGAGGTGCAGCAGCAGACAGGACTTCCTGTACTTTTAACAGATATAGTTAAACAATTCCCCTTTCTGCTTCCTTCTTAGAAGTGCAAGAATCTGGGCTGCCAGACAATTTGCTAATTTTTTTTTTTTTACCATTCTATTTTACAAATTAAACCTAACGATTTAATAAATTATTTTTAAAAATTCTTCCTAGCATTTAAAATCTGTAAAATGTATTATACCTATGAGCATGAAGCTTGTAGAATGTTTATAGGCCTCTCACAAAAATAAAAATAAAACTATACAAATACATGTGCATCATGCTAAGTCATGGTTCACTTACCCATGGTTTTGTTGAACAAGCCACAATTAGCTGGGGTTTTACAATGTACTACAATCTAAACCATGGCATACCAACCAGGATGGGTGGTTTCATACAACATACCCACTAAGTCAAGACTTAGCAAAATACACTAGGTTTCAGTTCAGTTCAAAATTTCTTTCAAAGACCAGTATAAAACAAACCAATCAAAAAGCAGTTTAAAAGTAGAAGAGGAAGGCCAGATATGAAACCCAAGCTAAATGGGTGGAATTTGACCTAACTTTAGTGACATAAAACTAAGATTCTAAGATAAAAGTAAGCAAAAAGTATCTATCTATCCTTATTATTAAATTATTGTTATTATTAAATTAAATTATTATTAAATCTATCTATCTGTACTTATTCAGAGTTATTCAAGAGTTAACCACAATGTGCTGTATTAAGGTATGAGGGGTTAGTTAACTTGGATCTTATTTTGCTGGCAGCACAGCAGAATTTGGCAATATATAGGGAAGCAGAGTCCCTTTGATCTGAAAGAAGAGTTTGTATATAGATTGTATCAGAATGACTTAGATATTTTACCAGATAAGGCTTAATAGGTTGAATTAGCCAAGGCATTATTTGGTTGGCTTTTAACCTACAAGTCAAAAAATCTCCTAGAAGACCATGGGAAATCATTTCCAAAAAACTGGGTGGATTTGGTGGTGACCTTTGCTGGCCAGGGAATTCCGGGAGTTGAAGTTCACACATCTTAAAGTTGCCAAGTTTGAAAAACACTGATTTATACAATAACATGTGGCACAAAGACTACCACTGGCGCTGCAGCATCTGCAGCAAAGCATGAAGACACCAAGATACATACGTACATATGTGCAGTGACATCATTATGCAAATGCTGCCATCACATAGTGACTCCCAATGTTTGAGATGTATGCCATGATACCCTCCTGCACATCATTTGCCCCTCCTTGCTCCCTGAGGGAGCAAGCCATGTTTTGGTTTTGTCAAAATGACAAAAGCAACATTGCACTGTTGCATTGTACACTCTGCTCCACCACACACATACAAAAGGGGCAGAACTTGCATCGTGATGGCATGGCACGGATTTCATCACGTGACCTCCTCTTGACCCTCTCCCCCAGAGACACCTCTGCATAAAAGAAGATCATATAGAAAACAGTATGCTGAAGTCCACCTGTAAGGAGAGGAATTATGGTTGGAAGGATAATCTGAATCCAGCCACGAGATCCAACCTATAACACACGTCACAAACAAAAGTTCAATAGAGTCGCTTTGTGAGATGGGCGGCGATATAAATGGGATGAATAAATCAATCAATAAATAGAGGCACAGCAAGGGACTAACATGAATCAAGAACACCACATTACGATCTGAATGCTGAGTTAGTTCACTGTAGGCAACAAGATGCAGCAATGTGCCTCATCAGCAATAACCTGGCACTCAAGTTACCTTCATCCACAAAAAAACCAGAAACATCACCACACAATTTTCACTTTCACCGCATCTTCCATGCAAAAACAAAACAAGACAGAACAAACCAAAAACCAGTACCTGCCTGCTATAGGCGAAATCTGGGCACGAACAGGGGTGGAATGACCACTGGTAAACTGCTTAGAGTGGAAGCCAGAAATCTGTGGAATACCTGGAGTTCAGGCAACCTTGGGGAAAAAACAGGGAAAGTGAATTTAACGTTGTCCTGGAGGTAACTGGAATGTGATATACATTAAACTTCCTGGCACATAAACTGACACACCCCAAAACATGAAACCCAAACATGTATTATTGCACGGTTGCAACCCAGAAGCTGGGTGGCCCCAATCAACTAGCTTGTAAGACTGAACGAGTGGAGGATTGCCCCACAGGGGACAGCCATCTTGGGTGGTATCACAGCCTGCTTTGTGACCAACAACTCCTTTTTCTTCTTTTTTAGACAGGTGGCATGCAGCAAAAAAAATTCTGAACAACCTATGATTGTCTGATCAGGATCATAGCCAGTGGAATTAGGAGAGGTGAAGGTTGGTTTCCCCTCATTTCCTTTCCATCCCCATTTCACTCACATGGACACATAACACCTGCAAGCAGACATACACACAGGTGAAGTGTCTGGAACAGTCCCATTTTTGTATTTTGCTCTCAGTTCCTCTCTCTATGTCCCTCTGAATCCAGCAGCCAGAAGGAAGAGTTAGCCTCAACTTAATTCTCTCTGCTGCATTCAGACAAAACAAGATCTAGTAGGTCACTTAATAATTCACCTTAGGTGCTTTGGGTTTAATTCAACCATGATCCCAACTCCAAAATAACGAGTATTAGAGTCACAGGTGAGTGGCAGAGGCTGGATTACTACTCTAAACTGTGGTTAGCTAGTTAGTGCCTCAGATTATTAACTGAGGCAGGTTGCTTGAGAAATCATAGATCAGTTAGACGGATCGACATGTTGTGTGAACACAATCACTGTCCGTGTGTGTTCAATACAGCTGACCCAAACAGGCTTTTAACAAATCCTGAAATTGACAGTTCTGTCAATCTTAAGGGTTACTCCTACTTTATTCTTAGTTTTTCTGGAACTTCTCAAGGAGGGGGTCTTCATTTCAATTTTCAGGGTCAAGATACCTTTGTCCAGTGTGGTGGGTAGAGATATCTTGACTACCTGCTGACTTCCCTCTGAAATAACGTTACATGATAACCTGTTATTCAAATTATCTGAGGAATATGAACAATAAAAAATGGCACCCATTAGTTTTGTAGTGGATGGGGAGAAATCCCATCCTGAAAGGATTTCTAATTACAAAAAGGTTAAAGGAAACTTAGACTGGACTTGCCAAACTAGAGTGGGCAGAAGCTAAAAGAGGCCAGGAAAATCAAACTCTGAAGAACTGTTTAGGAGCACAAAAACTTCTGATGGGCTTCAAAAAGGAAGATGGGGAAATTCCACTGTGTCTCAAATCTTTTCCCCCCATCCTGGAAGGAGAAGGCATCTCTTCCCAACCTGGCTTCAGAAGAAAAAGCTACCCTGGAGAAGGGTTGGAGAAGCAGGACAAAATTTTCTAGGGAATAGTGGAGGTAGGCGCAGATCAGAAGGCCTCTGGTTTTTTTTAAATTTTTTATTGCTTTTTAATTAGCAACAAAAAAAGAAAAAGAGAAAAAGATGATGATGATGATGATAATGACAGAGATACGTACATACGTTGTCAAAGAAAGAGAGTGCTTCACAAAAAAGTGAAAGAAGTATGACAAAGAAAAAAAATAGTATGTCATTATAAGAGTAAGCAGTCACAATTCTATGTATCTTCTCTGTAAAGAGGAGATGGAGGTAGCCTACCAAACAAGTTTATCCCAGGAGAATGCAACAGAAGGGATTGTGGGGGAGAACTTAGGACCCCTCCCACTAGAGGGAATCCGAGGGGAAGACCCACCACGCCCCTGTGCATGTATACACAAGGACCCCCTCCATTACAGACTGGCATAGAGACCTACCATTTTTTTCTTATTGGGTCAACACTACTGAATTACATAGCATCTAGGGCAGTGTTTCTCCACCTTGGCAACTTTAAGATGTGTGGACTTCAACTCCCATGCTGGCTGGGGAATTCTGGGAGTTATAGTCCACACATCTTAAAGTTGCCAAGGTGGAGAAACACTGATCTAGGGAAAGCATCATAACTAATCACTGAGAGGAAACACCATTCTGGCCCAAGGATCCCACACTCACCCCAATCTGAATATCATTCAGAAAGTCCTGCCCCACCTGCCAGACCCCCTGAATATTCATACCCCTAATCTGGACCATCACCTTCCTTGGTTTCTGAGTAGCCACGCCATGCTGAATCTTCACACTACTGTACTTACCATTGGGACTGCTTGGGCTTCATTGCTCTTCTGAGTCAATGCAATCCAACCTGTAAAACACAATAGAGAGAATGTAAAAGGGAAGATCATCTTCCTCTCAGCCAAGCCAGTGTCATTTGCTTTGAACTACCATCAGCAGTTGCCCGTTGACCCAGCAAAAAAAGGCCAGGTCCTCACTAAGGGATGGCTGAGACATAAGGGGACAATGACCCTATTGGTCCCACACAGTGATTGTGTTCACATAAGACACTAACCCATGGTTAACTGAACCTTGGTTTACTCCCTTTGGTTGCCTGGGTTCGCATGATACACTGAGCCATAAACTAATCATATTGGCTTGGTTCATGCAACACACTGAGCTACAAACTAGCCCCATTTTAGCTTAAAATGTTGGGTGAACTCAGCCAATGAGTTTTTTTGGAAGAAAGGTGAGAAGGAAAAGAATGTAAAAATGAATGAGAGACCAAGAAGACCTCCACCCTAATACAAAGCTTCTTCTCCAAGATAGAAACACACTCCCTGTGAGCACAGGGAGGACTGTTCTCAGGGCAGACATTGCTGGGCACCCTCTGAGGCCCGCTTTCCTGCAGAAAGTCCATTGATCATCCCCAAGCCACTTGAGGTGCACAGCACTATCCTCTTCTCATTATACATAAGCACAGAACAGAGGGAGAAGGTCAAACAGCTCTTCCTTCTTGCCTTGTACTGAGTGGATCCAGAAAGACAGAGTGGGGCTGGTTGCAACAGACAGAATATTACTGTTTTTTTAAAAAAAAGATATAATGAATGTCTGGAAGCCACGATCAAGCATATGGAGTCTCCAAGTTTAAAAGGCAACTGGATGCTGTGGACGAACATCAGATCACAGCTTGTCCTTTGTTATTTCCTTACTAGCAATTGGTAACATCTTCTAGCATAATCCAGGTATCATTATGGTGGTATAAAACCTGTCCCGCTTACTCTTATTACAAGGCTATTCCATCTGAACATACCAGATGGCAGTAAATACTTATACTCTGTATCTCTTTGCTGCCATCTAGTGGTACTTTGGGTTTTTGAAGGTCAGAAATTGTAGTTCTGGTTATATCAGTACAGAGATGGTTGAATGTGCCATAACATACTATAAATCACCAGTGAGGAAATGGCTTGTAAGCTTTGCAGGGGTGTAGCTGCTACTGTTGTAAACAGAATGGTGCCCTAGATAGGTCTTTCATCTAGGGAGACAGAATGCTTTATAAAATTATGAAGAGTGAGTTGATATATAAAAAATTCAGGAAGGCAGGGAATAAAGAAAATGACTGAGGACACAGAGATGAATTATTAACCAAAAATGCCACAAAGGCACAGAGTTTGTTAACACAATGAATTACACCATGATTTGTTTAACCAAAGTGTAAGCTATAATTGGCTCGATTGATCCATCATACTAAGCCATAAATCTCAGTCTACAAACCACAATGGCTAGAATTACAGTCATGCTGAGCCAAACCCAATGAAGCATATTATGACCTAACAGAATAATAAACCCAGGCATACAAGTCCACATGCAGCTGACATCAAAACCATGTTGAGATCCCAGACCAAAAGCATCCAATTTTTTAAAAATCAGCATATAATTAGTTCACAGAATTTACTGCCACATGACATTGCAACGGCTGCTAGCTCAGAGAATTTAACATCATAACAGAGTGATTTTTGCAGGTAGCCAGCTGGCCATGGCCTCTTCACGAATACAGTTTTTCCAACTTGGTCTCTTTAAGATATGTGGACTTCAACTCCCAGAATTCCGCAGCCAGCATCTGGGAGTTGACATCCACACATCTTAAAATGGCCAAGTTTGAAAAACACTGTTTTAGTCCTTCCTTGTCCACTTACTTTTCTCCTACCCCAACCATACCCCGACAGCAGCCACTGAGCACGCTCAGTGTTGACTTAGCTGTTTTGACAGACCCTAGGAAAAACAGCCTCTTTCAGGTCTTGCTT